GTTCTTATATTGGCTTTTGAAATTTTCTAGGGTTTTCTCTGTGTTTTCCTCAATTTTGTCAGTGTTTTCCTTGATCTGTCTCTCGATTCACTGAAGATACCTAAATATAATTCTTTTGAATTCCTTATCAGGGAGTTCCAATGCTGTGTCTTCCTCAGGGATGTGTTTTGGGTCTGTATCCTGGTTTCTTGTTTCTCCTGCTTTATCTTGCTTCTTCGTGGGCACTGTGATGCTCTGTTATCTCTAAGACATTGTGATGTTTTTGTGTTTATATTTAATTTGTGATTGTATGTTGAAGTGACTTGCCCACGATTTTTGTTTTCTTTGGATTTCATCTAAGTAAGCAGGGCACTGTGCTCCTGTATTCAGTAGTTGGCAGCACTTATACACACACCATCTGTCTCCTTTCCCACTGTCAGCCTCCCCTATGTCCCTGCTGTCCTTGGCAAACAGAGCTTATTGTTAGGTCCTGTTTTTGTTCAGGTTTTTCTACTAGTTGGTGCCTAATCCACTTCTGCATACTTCCTTTCAAAGCTCAGGACTCCAAGATTATCTTCTGTATCTTTGTCAATTGGTTTCTCTTTTCTTTGTTGAAGAGGGTCTGTGTAGCTTGTCGGCCTATTCCTCCATCTTACTGGAAGTTTAAACCCAATTTTTAAATGGGCAAAAAATGTGAACAGACACTTCATAAACCAGATACACACACACACCACCCACAAAGATATATAAATGCCCAATAAGTACATGAAAAGATACTCAACATATAACTGCATACATAGTTGAATGACTAAAATTGGACTGACAGTACCAACAGTTAGCAAGGATGTAGAGCAATTGGAAATTTCATCCACTGTTGGTGGGAATGTTAAATAGTATAGCCACTCTGAAAACAGTTTTTTGTTGTTATTGTTGAGTGCTGTTGAGTCAATTCTAGCTCATGGTGACCCCATATGACAGAGTAGAACCATGCCATAGGGCATCCTAGGCTGTAATCTTTATGAGAGAGCTCTGGTGGCATAGTGCCTAAGGTATTTGACTACTAACCAGAAGGCTGGTGGTTCAAATCCACTAGCCACTCCTCAGAAGGAAAATTGGGCAACCTACTTCCATAGTGATACTGCCTCAGAAACCCAAGGAAGGGTCGCTATGAGTAGGATCCAACTCCACGGCAGAGAGAGAGAATCTTTATGAGAGCCTATTGCCACATCTTTCTCCCACAGAGCTACTGGGTGAGTTCAAACCTCCACCCTTTCACTTAGTAGCCTAATGTTTAACCATTGTGCCACCAGGGCTCCTCAACAGTTTTAACAGTTTCTTATAAAGGTAAATGTAAACTTTATCATATAACCCAGCCTTTCCACTTCTAGGGATTTACCCAAGAGAAATAAAATACATGTTCGCACAAAGACTTACTTGTAAATGAATATATTCCTAGCAGCTTTATTCACAATAGCCTAAACTGGAAATGGTTCAAATATTCAATAAGAGGTGAATGGATAAGCAAACTGTGGCATCCAATGTGAATGTAAATTTCATAGCATCCAATTAAATATTCAACGGTAAAAAAAAAAAAAAAAACTAATGATACATGCAATAGCATGGACTAATCTCAAAAGGTAATGCTGATGAAAGAAACCAGATGCAAAAGATTTATAGACTGTATTTAGTCTTTTCAAACCGAAAACCAAACTCCAGTTGATTCCAACTCATAGTGACCCTTATTGGGTTTCCAAGGCTGTAAACCTTTACAGATGTAGACTGTCACATCTTTCTCCCATGGAGCAGCTGTTGGGTTCAAACTACCAACCTTCTGGTTAACAGTCAAAAGTGTTAACCACTACACCACCAGAGGTCCTATTGTTGTTGTTGTTGTTGTTAAGTGCCGTCCAGTCGTTTCTGACTCATAGTGACCCCATGCACAGCAGAACGAAACACTGCCCAATCCTGCGCCAGCCCCACAATCCCTGCTATACTTGAGCCCATCATCACAGCCACCGTGTCAATCCATCTCATTGAAGGCCTCCCCCTCTTTCGCCGACCCTCCACCCTACCAAGCGTGACATCCTTCTCCAGGGAATGGTCCCTTCTTATATTATAAGAATAATAATATATTCTTATTATTCTTATAATAAGAGGTCCTATTGTAGTTATATGAAATTCTAAAAAAAGGAAAACTAAGTGACTAAGAGTAGGTAAGTTGTTCCTGGGATTTGGTTGGCAGGAAGATTAACTGTAAGGAAGAATGGTGGAAGAAATGTTCTGTATCATGATGGTGATAGTAGATTATACAGGTGTATACGTTTGTCAAAATGGATTTGTACACATAAAATTGGTATACTTTATGTAAATTATACTTCAATACCAAATCAAAACCAAACTCACTGCCGTTGAGTCAGATCTGACTCATAGCAACCCCTCCTTGGGTTTCCGAGGCAGTGTCACTATGGAAGTAGATTGGCCAATCTTCCTTCCAAGGAGTAGCTGATGGGTTTGAACCACCAGCCTTCTGGTTAGCATTCAAATGCCTTAGAGAGTCAAATGTTGAATCTGAATGATGGAGAGTTTTCTGATGCCATCTGCAGTCTAGTGGCATGTTCAGGGCTAGGAGTGGATACTAAGCTCAGCTTTGGCTTTAGGGGATTTGAACGTAGAGCTTCCGAGCTTCCACATGGACCCATATGGGAAGTTAAGCAGGAAACTCCAGGGTTAGGGTCTGTAGACAGGGCTGAACATGTGCTGAGCACTCTTGGGAAATGCATGCTTTGTGGAGTTTGCATCAGCTTCATCTTCCTTTTTGACTCCTAGGGCAAGATGGCAGCAGATGAAGGTTTGCAGGACACCTTGCGGCTCCAGTTCAAGGCACTTCAGGAGATGCAGCACAAAAGGCTACAGAAGCAGATGGAGAAAAGGAAAGAGAAAGAACTGAGCCTCAAAAGCAAAGACAATGACCAAAAAGAGCCCCTGGAGATCTCTGATAGCTTCAACCTCCTCCACACAGGGGAGCAACACTCAAAAGACAGCTTTGAAAAGAGGTAATATTTGAACTTCTTCTGGAGATTGCAGTAAGGTGAGGAAAAGGAGGGAGAGATGATTGCAGACTAGTTCGGTAATCAGGTTGACTAGATATGTGTTTGTATGTTGAGAAACAGAGCCACAGAGCTTGTTACTGAAGACTCTTATATCCTATGGAAGATCTGTGTTCCCATGGACATAATTTGATGTGAAATGTGTTTATAAACCATTTAAAGTAAAATTGAAAATTTGAAACTCATTAGGGTGTTACTCATTCTCTTAAATTTCTTTTACAGTCTCTCTTTCATGAAAACTGTGCTTGGGCTTCTGAGAGCTGGTTGGCTGACTCTGATGGTTCATAGGTGATCATTGCCCAAAATCACATCTGGGATTGTTCTCCCATGTCGATTTCCCATTCCTGACACATAACAAGACATAAACACATCCTGTCCTAAAGAAGCTCTTGGTGAATTCCTTGCTTTTTTGCATCTGGTGAAAAAGTTAGAGGGAGTACAGAATCTTTCATTTGCTCTCAATCTGGCAATGTTACACAGATGCATATGGATTTATACTGGTTATTAGAAGCAGGACTCTGTATTGATACAAAACTCCTTAAAAAAGCCAAAAGATTCTTAACTGGTCCTTTGTTTCCAGTTTCACCCAGTAACTTTTTCCACCTTTTAATTCTACTTTTTATGGTGTGGAATGGGACTAGTAGTAGTAGCATCAGAAGCTATCTAACTTTAGCGGGGGATAATGCAAGTGAAGATCAGCCCGAGGCTGATCCCTATGAGGCAGACATACCTCTAACCTCCAACATTTTTTTTTTACCAGTTCTGACACCAGCTGTCCCCATGGCACTTTCTACTTCTCATCTGGGTTCGATAATCCATTTCAGTGGACACACAGAACCCACAGGCCATATTTACAGTTAAGTGGTTTATTAAGGAAGTAACAGGGTACAACTTCGTACCCGGATCAACAGGCTACAACTCATGATCAGGATCAGGATTAAGAAGCATGTAGTTAGAGTCTCCCTTCTTCATCATAGGACAGCTCTCTCTGCTTTTCTTGCCAGAACAGACCTTCCTTTGGTCCCCTGAGGCTCCTGTTGGCCCTACCATCTGTTACCACCAGCTCTGCTCTTCTGGGCCTGTTACTGCTAGCTCTGCTGTTAGGCCCCTTCCCAGCCTGTAACCATCTTTAGTGTTCAGTCAATAACCCTCTTTTGGGAGATTCCTTGCCTCCTCTCTCTGCTGTTGCCTTTTGCTGCTTTGCTTCCTACTGCTTTCTCTGTGAAAAACCTGGCTGCTTATATACAAACTCCTTGTCAGTTTCAAGGCATGGCCCTCCCATCAGGGCTACCAATTGACCAATTCCCCTTGGTAGGCCACAGACGCTTCCTTTGCATAGTAGGCTACAGGCACTTCATTTGCATAGTCTATTGACCAATTCCTGCAAGGTGCATACCAATAACAGGGCAGATTGAATACAGGACCAGACAAAAAGTATCAAACCATAAATTGTTTACAGCTTACCCAGGAAATGTCAATCAACATGAACAAAATAACAAACCCTCTAAGGTAGAAAACTGTTGTAATTATGTGCCATCCAGTTGGACCCGACTCATAGCGACCCCTCCTTGGGTTTCCAAGGTGGTATCACTACGGAAGTAGATTGCCTAACCTTCCTTCCGAGGAGTGGCTGGTGGGTTTGAACCACCAGCCTTCTGGTTAGCAGTGAAATGCCTTAGGGACTACGCCACCAGAGCTCCTAGGTAGAAAACTAGGACAGAGATAAATCCTCAGGGCTTAGGAGAAAAAAAGCTCTCAAGATGTTTTTCCAAAGAATCAAAGCAAAAGGCCACACAAAGGAACTTATTTCACCACATATGGTTTCTCTGTTTTTAAAATGTTCTACTGAAAAAATTGAGAAAAAATAAACATTTCTTAATAATTGAAAAATTCATTTTGGCTTCTAAACATTACTTCTAAATTAACCCCAGAACTGTTTCCAGATGACCTTTCTCTAAATTAGGGAAATGAATTGGTGGAGATTTGAACCATTGGTAGAATAGCAATAACAATAACAGTAGTAATAATTACTATTACCTTGGGCCTATAACATCTATCACTTATTTACTTCTTGAGCAACTGTCTTTATGAGAGCCTGTGTTGTGCCTAACAATAGAAATGTTTCAAAGTTCTGGGAAGAGCCTTGCAAGACGACTTGCCATATACAAAACCAACCACCTGTTCTGATTTTCCATCGGGTTTACTTGCGACCTAGAGGCCTAGCCTCAATTTAAGACTTAGAAAAATTCCTAGTAGGGTCTTTTAATATATGCATTTAAGACTGAGAGTTTCCTTCTAAGTATCACCAACATGCCTCAGATTTTGATATATATTGCTTCTGTTGTCATTCAGTTCTAAATACTTCATAATACATTTTACACTTTCTACCTAATTCATAAATAATTTGGAAGTTTGTTTGTATTTTTTTTTATTTGAAATATGTGGTAAGTTTTGGGACTGCTTTTTGTTTTGTTTTGTTTTTTCTTTTTAGTATTAATTTATAATTTTAATCAGTTGCCATTAGAAAAAATAGCCTGTATGGTATTCATTATTTGGAATTTGCTTAGACTGTGTAAAAATATAATAAATGTTATGCATGTTCTATGTGTGCATAGAATATGAATTCTCTGAGTGGAGGGTTCTGCATAGTTCTCTGTTGAATCCAGCTAGTAAACAATGTTATTCAAACCTCCTTTCTCCTTTCATTGTGTGCATGTGTGTGTGTGTGTGAAAGGGGGGGGCACTCCTGTACATGCTTAATCACTCAGTTCTGAGAATGATGTGTTGAAAATCTACTCATTAAAGTTTCTTATTTTCTCCTGCCTGTTTTGTACAGACTCATTCTTATCTCCATCTAGTGTCCAATCCAGGCACAACAAACCTGGGCAGTGAGGCCAAATGCCTGTGAAGGAGTAGTAACTCTGCCTTTGCCTTGTAGGGTGCTTGAAGACGAGATTGAGCAGCTTCGAGATCAACTCAGAGAAACAGTTGATGAGAATGGGAGATTGTATAAACTACTGAAGGAACGGGACTTTGAAATCAAACACCTCCAAAAGAAAATAGAGGAAGACAGATTTGCCTTTACAGGTAGTTGTGACAATCTGACCCATCCCCCTGCCCAGGAGTCCAGGTGGCTGGCGCAGCTGCCCTGGAGCCTGCCAGGCAGGACAGATAGCACGTTCAAGAGGGCAGGTGCCAAGGGTCGGTTGCGGTCAAGAAGTGAGGGGTAGGAGAGGAGAGCAGGCCCAGGGAGGCCAGCATATCAGGGAATGGAAGTCAGTGCAGGAATGGCAGAAGCAGCAGCCAAGCATTCCAGACAATGTTTGAGACCCAGCTCGGGCTCATGACAAAGATACTCACAGCATGTTAGGTGGGCCAGCAGGGTCTATTTCATCTTGGTACTTGGCTCAGGAATTGTGTCATGGAGGCAAAGCCATGATAAAAATGGGCATTTACTCTGCAGCACCTGTTGTTGCTATTTCAGAGAAGTAGACAAAACATGGAGGTTGGCTGTCTCATGGACAAGACCATGACCCTGTATGTCTGGGATGGACCTTGACCCTGTAGGTCTGAGCTGGAACTTGGCTCTTTTGGTGGAGATTTTGGCTTTGTGGATCTAGGATGACCTTGATCCTGCAGTATGTGCTAGATGTTGGCTCTGTGGTTATCTGCTAGGCCTATGATATCTGTGTTATGGGGACCTTGGCCCTGACTGAGCTCTTCTCTAGTTCTGCATTGACCAGAACTAGAACTTTGCTGAATTTGTATTTCTTTAACTTCTAGAATAAATGATTTTCCCAGTGATCTTAAAATATCCATTTTGTCCTCCACAACACCTATTTAAGGAGCAAGGGAGCCAAATGTGCCATTTCTGTGCTAAATGACACCCAATCCCCTCTAGATAACCCAGGACTCGAGACCATTCTGTGCCTTCTTTTAGTGTGTTCTTATCCTCTTCAGCAGATGTGAGGTTGCCAAGGGCAACCATCCCTTGTCACCCAACGCACTGCCTAGTAGCAACAAGTCTAGGCTGAGTTGATTTGAAAATGGTCAGTGCCTTTGTTTTGCCATCCACCAGTTGTCACCTTTAGTGTTATTATTCTGAGATGCCTCAAAGCCTGAGAAGGTACCCCTGACAATTATCCACTGCTGTGGTATCAGAAACATTTAGAAAATTGCAGACCATCTGATTGTATCTTTCATTGTGCAGATAGGGAAAGTGCACTCTTAAGAGGCCGAGGGACTGCCAAGGCTACTTGGTAAGTCATTGGCCAAGCTCTGGTAGCTCCCACTGCCTGCCCTGTACAGGTCCCACCTAATGTGATTTACCCTATTTATTTCTCTCCAACCACCTCGTCTACAGCCTCCTTCCCTCACCTACTGCATTCCAGCTACCATGGCCTCTTTGAAGTCCCTTAGATACTCTGCACATTCCCATCTCAGGATCTTTGCACTTGCTGTTTCCTCTCCTTAGAACACTTAACAATTGAGAACAATCTTCTTCATGGCTTGAATCCTTCACTTCATTTATTTTAGGTCTCTGTTTACATGTTACCTCCTCAGAGAGGCCTTTCCTGAGCACTCCATCTAAAATAGCATCATTCCATCACTTTCCCTTACCCAGCTTCAGTTTATTTCTTTACACTTATCCCTGTCAGATATTACTATATTTTTTTTCATTATTATCACATTGTTTACCTGTAAACAAATATATCAAGCAATAGATTGATACAATCCAACAAAGGCAAAAAATATTCTTATAAAGGGGGGACAAAAAGCCTGCAGACTGTTAGAAGAGGATACTGGATTCATACATTATGTTCAGTAGCAAAGCGTCCAGTCTGTTCTTGCATAAGCCAAGGAGCACCTTCAAAGAAAACCATTAGTGATGCTCTAGAGACTCTTAAGCTTGACTGTGGAGCATATGTGACACATTGTCTCTGGGTAACATCTTTCGTCACTCCATCAGCATGTCCATCTTAGATAGGGCAGATCTTCACCATTTCTTGTATCAGTTTTAATGCCCTTGGAAGATTTATTTGGAGCTGGTGTGCTTGGTAAGGAGCTCTGGTGGCATAGTGCCTAAGGCATTTGACTGCTAACCAGAAAGTTGGTGGTTCAAACCCACCAGCCACTCCATGGAAGGAAGACTGGACAATCTACTTCTGTAAAGATTTACTGCCTCAGAAACCCAAAGGGGGGTGCTAGGAGTCAGAATCAACTTGATGACAGTGAGTTTAGTTTTGGTTTGGTGCACTTGGTGACGGCCTTGGTGTCCTCGGACATAGCTTATTTGGCCAGGTCCCTGGGCAGCAGAAGGCACATGGCCATCTGGATCTCCCTGGAGGTGATGATTGAGCGCTTGTTGTAATGCACGAGGTGAGCTCAAAGATTTCATTAAACTAGTTCACAAGGCCCATGGCCTTGGATGAGATGCTAGTGTTGGGGTAGACCTGCTTCAGCACCTTGTGCTCATAGGTGGAGTAGTTCTCTGCAGCTGTGCTTGCATTACTTGCCATCCTTCTTCTGCACCTTGGTGCCTTTCATTAGGGCAGGCATGGAATTGGCTGGTTCAGGCACTTTAAGAAGTCAACACATCAGTAAAGCAAATACAATGCTTATATTCATTTGTTTTTATTGTATATCTCCTCTACTAGAATAGGATAATGTAAACTCCATGAGTCTTTTTTATTCACTGCTGAATTCCTGACACCTGAAATGTCTAGCACTTGATAGAAACATCAGTAGGCATTTATTTAGCTTAAACATCTAGAGGTTGGCTGGGGATTGGCTGATCTAGGTCAAACTTGGCTGGGGTGGTTTAGCTTTGTTCCATGTGTCTCTCAACTTGTTCCCAGGACCAGCTAGCTGGCCTGAACATGTTCTTCTTATGTAGATGGCATAAGCAAAAAGGACAGTTTAACTGTGCAAGTGCTTTTCAATCCCCTGCTTGCTTCATACCTGCTACCATCCCAATGGCCAAAGCTCAAGCTGAGCCTGGAGTCAGGTGGGTATAGAGGGGTCTAGGGGACTGCACCCTGCTCACCAGAGGGTACAGCAAAGTTTCAGGGCACAGGGGCGGATGTGTTATACTGTCATTTGGCATGGCCTAAAGAATCAAAGCAGTAGACCTGTCTCCCACAGAATTAAAACCCTGCTTTCTGACTTTACAATTCTCTTAGAACATCCTGAATTTCCACTCACTGCAATTGGGTCTCAGGGCTTCTAGGCATGTGGTGACTCACCTGAGTCTCTGCTCCATTGAGAACATTCACACCAAGTGGCTTTAACTTCTGAAACCCCGGCATTGTTGGTTGGGTGGCATGAGTTCGGTGTGCAGGCTTGTGGTTTTAATTGGCCTCCTCATTTCCTTCATTTTAGGGACAGCTGGTATGGCCGGGGATATGGTTGCTACCAAAATCGTCGAGCTGTCCAAAAAGAACCGGTTGCTGATGGCAGAGTCAGAGGGTGCAAAAACCAGAACAAAGCAACTGAGCAATCGCATCCAGGAGCTGGAGCGGGAAGTGAGGGGCCTTGTCCATTCCTGCCTCTGAAGGGGACTCCCAGGGCCTGTGCCACTCCTCCAGAAAGGGAACCACATGTAGATGCCTTGGATGCTTCTGAAGGATCTTGGGGGCCAGTGTTTACAATGAGTTCCTCAGCCTTTGTCATGTTCTCAGAGGGAAGTGCGTTAGGAAGCAAGGGGGACGCAGGTCACTGAGAGGCAGTCTGGCATAGCAGGTTCAGGGCACAAACCTGGAGTCTGACTTCCTGTGTGTGAAAGCAGCTCTATCACTGACTTGATTGCTGACTTTGAGGAAATTATAAACTCTCTGTGCCTGTTTCCTCCTCTGTCTCATGGCAGTGTTAGTACTACTCACACCAAGTGTTTTTGAGGATTAAATAACTTGACGTAAAATGCTTAGAGCACTGCCTGGCACCTAGTAAGCACTGGATGAACATTTAGTAAGTAAATTTAAGAGGAGCCCTTGCTAATATAAGCAAAGTTATTGTAAATGAACAGGGAAGCTAGAGGCAGGAACATCCTCCTAGTCAGAGTCTTGCTGTTGTCTGTCTTCTGCTTTTTGGGACTGCTGGCCCTCCCAAGCTAATCACAAGCCCCTCAAAACAAGGGCACAACCAAATGGTTCATGGTCCTTAGAAATGAGAATGGCATCCATGTGCTGGGGGAACGTCTCCTTATGCTGCTGAGGAGCAGAGGCTGGGAGAGGCTCAGAGGCTTTCTCTAGCTGCACAGGCAGTGAGTTGTAGCACTGGATTACAAATCAGTGCTTTTGTCCCCAAAACTCACCTTAGTCATACTTGGCATTAAATTAGAGCATCTCTATTCCGTAACATATGTTTTGAACCTATCTCGGGCCTTGGGGATACTGTGGGAAGCAAAATAAATACTTTAGCAAAAGAGACATTAGTCCCCCTCCTGGGGGACAGGCCAGCACCAATTTGTAATATAGTTATAAACCTTGGCAGAGGAAAAAGAGAACAGTGGTAGGGAGGTGGGTGGATGGGTTAAGGAAATGCCTCTCAGAAGAGGGGTGCAGTGGATCCCTGGAGGATGAGGAGGAGCCAGACTTGCAAAGTAGAGGAGGGACTTCCATGCAGAGGACCCAGCGTGGAGTGGGAAAGAGAGTAGTTGGTTCTATATAGCAGTCTCAAGCACCAGGCCGTGAGTCTGTGTGGCAGTTTTCTCCAGGTCTGTGAGCCTGTCTCTTGGTCTATAACATGACATCCATACTTCCTTTACTCTCTCAGGGCTGTTTTTGGAACTCCAGGAGATAGACTGTAGCTACAGTGTTATTGTTTATTAGCGTTCTCTGGGGCACCAGCATAAGCTCTTAGTGAATCCAGCCACTCTTACCATGCGGCTGGGGAGTGGGGCAGGCAATCAATTAAACCCTCTCCCATCACAGAGCAGTGTAAAAGGAGAATTTATCCATTAAGTCCCAAAGAGAGCTGAAAGGACAAACAACCTACATTGGTAACTGCATACCCAGTGGCTCTAGATCATTTCTCTTGGGCTGCACAATTGCCAAGGAGAATGAAATATTAAGCACAAGGGTTTGCTTTTTCAGCTGCAGATGGCTGTGGCCAGGCTGCCAGCCCAGGGGGCCGCTGAAGCGGGAGCCAAGCCTCCGAGGGCCCAGATGGGAGACACAGCCTTGGTATGAATTCTCTTCTGTACTGGGGAGTCTGCAAGACAGCTTCCAGCCTGGGCCCCCTCTTCCATGCAAGTGCAGGTGCTTCTGCCCTGGGCCTACCCCTGCCCCATGGCTCTGAGCTGGGTGCTTATTGTCTACCATTGCAGCATCCTCAGAGCAGAGCACCAGGGGAACAGTGAATGAGCTGCTGACTTGAGGCCAGGAATGCCCAGAGCATGCTGAGGAAGGTCTAACTCTGATTCAGTCCCTAAAGAGAGAGGGTAGGAGGGGCTTAAGGACCCTGGAAACCTGGAACCTTAGGTCCAGGAGAGAAGACCTGGTCCAACTGATGTCCTTCTCTCAGCCTGGACATCTTACAGCATCCTCACTGGGAATACATTCAGCCTTACAGGGAGGACACTGCTACCCAATGGAGCTCTGCTCTTGATGGGGCAGCTCATATTATGAGAAGTCTTCCTTTTGTAGAGCTCAAAATTATAGCATAAAATGGTCTATTTGGAATAGGGCTTGTTCTCCAAATTCCGTTTTACTAAACCAGTGGGTGAGATCCAGGAAACAGGAATTGCAACTCCATGAAACAAGGCAGTCTGACCCTCTGACCCAGTGGACAGCCAGGCATGTGGAACCCAAGCCAGATAAAAAGCATCAGAGTCTCAAGAACTTCCCAGGAGGCCTTCCCAGAGGTTTCTCGGGAAAGCCAGGCCAGTTGGTGACAGAAGGAGCCAAGCCTCAGGACTCAGTTCAGTGCTTTTTCCCCAGCCCCATCTCTCCTGTTGTCGATGTCTCAGGACCAGGGTACCTCATGGTCATCTTGATGAGAAAATTTAGTCCTCAGTGTATAGGGATGGGCCTCTGTTTGGAGGTTTGAGTCTACCCAGGGGTTAATCTATTTCCTCAAGGCCTGTCTCATGTAAGCCAGTCTTATTACTGGGGAGGCAGCAGAGGGGTCCCTTCCATGGGCAAAGGGTAGACTGAATGTTCTCTGGAGCCTTTCCCAGCTCTGGGGGACACTGCTCAGATGCCCCGGTTTTATCCAGACCTTTGAGTACCTCCATGTCCCTAGGGCTGCCCTGGTGGGAAACTGCTTTTTCAGTTACTTGTTGAGCTGGATAGATTTCCTGAGCCCTGTGATGTAGGGCATCAATAACAGGGCTTCTGTCCATGGGGCTCCTCCCAGTCTAGGAGGCAAGATGAGTGGCCTTATTAAAGGAAGGATGTAACAGGGCCTTCAGAGAGAGCGCTGAGTTCAGCAAAGGGAGAATACCTTCTGTGTGTGACAGCAGGAAGGCAGGATGGTGGAGGGGTCCTTGAGGTGGGCCTTACTAGAGAAGAAAAATGGGGCAAGGTCTTCCAGAGGGAATAGTGCAAGCAAAGGCACAGAGGCTGGGAAACACTAAGTATTCCTGTCCAGTTTGTTTAACTAGGTGTCCGCTTGCAACCCAGGGCCCATGAAGGGGAAAAAGGAACAGAAGCCAAAAAAAAAAAAAAAAGGCTGAGATGGGGTCATGGAGGGAGGCTTTGAGTCAAGCTGAAATAGAAGTTTTGACCTTGTTCTGTGGCTAAAGGGAGCCTAGGGTTTGTGATCAGACAGTAGGTGACAGGCTGTGAGTCTCAGCTCATCAGTTACATGTGTTTTCCCTGGTATCTTCTGATCAGAGGGAGAACAAAAGCCATTTTTCCCTCATTAGACTATTCAGGGCAGCCCAAGCAGGGCCACACTCAGGCCTGCAGGATCAATCTACATTCCAGCCTGAGCTACAAAGCACATTCCAAAGAGGAGCTGAGCACCCTCCAGCATGGGGCTCCTGCAGGCTATGGCTTGGGTGGCATTGGCATTGTCCCCTGTGAGCTGACAACAGCTGGAGCAATGGGAGGAAGGTATTCAGATCATACCCAGGTTCCCCATGAAGCCTGTGGAATTTCACCCTGGGTGGAAGCATCTCTAAAATGGCTGGGAGACAGTGTCACCCACATGCCGGTGCTGGCTGCTGCTGGATGTGGGCCTCAGCCATCTCTAGAACATCACCTGGCCCTTGGACCCCTTTGCTAACTGCCACCAAGCCTGGTTAGGCCTCCTGACATGATCCTTTGTCAGAACCCAGCCCCAGCCAGGACCATTTACATACATTATCAACTCTCATAGGTATCCTAGAGGTTAGTATTAAAAATCAGTCCCTGTTGAGTTGATTCTAACTTAAGGCAACCCATGTTGTCAAGAATAGAACTGTGCTCCACAGGGTTTTCATGGCTGATTTTCTAGAAGTAGATCACCAGGCCTTTCTTCCAAGGTATCTTCTTGGTGGACTCAAACTTTCACCCTTAGCAGCTGAGTACATCAGTTGTTTGCACTACCCAGGGACTCTGAGGTCGATATTACATACCCCCATTTCACAGATGAGGAAATTGACGATTGAAGAGGAGACCTCACTTACCTGGGTTCTAAATCCAGGTTAAATATGATCCAAGAGCTGTGCCCATACCACTCTCTGAACAGACCAAAGAGATGGTGCAAGTCCCAGCATCCACATAGGAAGCTCATGTACTCCACAGCTCTTGGCACCCCCCACTCATCAGAGTCAGTGGTGCTTCTGGCATTGCAGATCTCACAGGCTGCTTACTGCTTCCCAACCCCGGGCAAATTCAAAGTGGCACAGTCACAGGGGAGAAAAAGAAGACAGCCACCCAACAACAGTGAGAAAGAATGTCAGGCAGCCAGACAGGGAAGGACACAGAAAAAAATGTACTAGAAAAAGATATATTTTTTAATAAGTTCTCAGTTTGCAAAGCCCATTCACCTTGGTTATCCTATTTAGCCTCATGGTGTTGCTGTGAGGAAGCTAGAGAGGGAAGTATTTTCATACCCATTTCACAGATAAGGAAAGTACCTCAAACCAGGAGTCCTGGACCATGTGTCCAGGTCTAGTTTCCTGGACCAGTGGTTTATAGCTCAGCTGCCCATAGCCCCTGAAGTCCGTGAAACTTCCTGGACACTGTCTACTGGGATCAGGGCAGCCCAAGCAGGGCCACACTCAGGCCTGCAGGCTCAATCCACATTCCAGCCTGAGCTACAAAGCACATTCCAAAGAGGAGCTGGTGAAAGGGCCAAGTGATGTTCTGGAGATGTCTGGGACCCAAAGATCAGAAAGCCACTGTGCTGCCCACCCTGCTTCCAGGAAGTACACCCACCCAAGTGTGTTAGAGCAGGGCCAGGTGCTCTCAGTGCCACTGCCTGGGAAGATGCTCAGTCCATATTCCTGCTGCCATGATGGCATGAGGGTCGATGAGGTGATGGTTCCTATTGCACCAGCAACAGGTTAAATTGGGAGAACCAGCCAGTGCAGGATTCTACGCCCACTTCTGTCACTCCTAAAGGGAACTTCCTTCCTTCATGGGCTTTCATTTCACCACATATGGAAGGAATTTTGATGGCCTGACCTTGGAGGTCCCTTTAATGCCAAAACTTCTGCGAGTCTGTGCTGAGGAACCTCTGAAACACAAAGAAGTGAGCAACATCTTTGAGAAAAATTTACATCCAGATGGTTTACATCAATAACATTTTTTAAAATGACATTGTTAAGTTCCAACACGCAGACTTTTCAGTGGCTTCAGTTCTTCAAGCCACAGAGATGAAGTATTTGGGGGAATAGATTGGATCTGTATTTCCTGTTTGGTGGGCTGCTGCCAGGAAAGGGAGGCTGAGGCCCAGCCCGATGAGCTCTGGGAAGGAGAAGCCCCAAGGTAGGATGATCAGTGAACTAGTTCCCTCTTTACTCTTGAGTGAAGATCAACTTGCTGTGATGGTGTCCTCTGAGCACAAGAAAATGAACTCACTCTCAGGAAGTATCTGGGAGATAAAGAGCCTGTAGGCCTGCTCCAGATGATCCACCTCTGTGGCCAAAGCACTCAGGCATGTATGTGCATCCGTGTGTGCGTGCGTGTGCATATGTGTGAAGTCAACACTGAGCAAAGAGCTCAGACCCCAGAGTTGGACTGCCAGGATTCAAATCTGTGCTCCACCCTTACCAACCTGGTTCTCCAAGCCAACCGAACTTCGCCCTCACCAGCCTCTGAATTGCATCCATAAAGTGGGGCTAACGATAAAACTGCTTCACAGGGGTCGGTAAAGATTAAATAAATTACTCCATGCCAAGCGTTTTAGCACAGGGCCCAGCACATGCTTGGATAAAGGGGGGTTGTGGTGATTATTATACTGTTTAGGCAACAAGTGACTGCTCTCCCTCTTTCTCAACCAGCCAGAGAGCCCAGAGGTAAAAGCCCTGCAGGATAGGCTGGCAGCTGCAAACCTGAAAATGAGTGACCTCCGTAACCAGATCCAGGCTGTGAAGCAGGAGCTCAGGGTGGCCCAGAAGGTATTCAGCGCCAGGGCTCAGGTCTTGTGTGGCTGGGGCTGGGCTGGGGGAGCACACGGCCAGGACAGTTGGCTCCATTCAGGAGCAGCGAGTGGTTGGCCCCAGGAGGATCCTGCTCTTGCTCTGCATTGGGCTCCAGGTCTGGTAAACTCTTTCCACCAGCTCTTGGTACAGACCCATTTGGTGGGCAGGGACCACTCACTACCCAAGGAGTCCTGAATTTAAGCCCTATGATCCCCACCCTGCTCTGGACCCATAAGACAGCACTGCCCCCTGCCCAGGCAGAGACCTTTAAACCTTCCCAGTGCGACCTGCACCCCAGCAGATCCCAGGTCTCTCCTTTATAAGGCACCTTGGCCTTGGGAGCCTGCTGGAACCTGTCTCCTGCCCTCTGCTGTCTGTGATGTAAGAAAATGAATAGATTGTTTGTTTATTAAAGGCCTCTTTCAAAGGAGAATGTTCAGACTTGGGGCTCAGGCCCAGCTGGTTCGTTATTTATTTTTATTTATATAGCGAATTCTCTGGCATTTGTCTTCCCTGCTGGAACCACTCAGACCAGCCAAGATTTCCGAAACAGTGCTCTATTGTGGAAACAAGCGCCAGAGACTTGGTACACAGGATCGGGTTTCCGTGACAGGCTCCAGGACCCATGTCACAAGCTGAAGCATATTGTTTGTTTCCACCTCAAAGCCTTGAGGTAGGACCTGAGGGCCATCCTTCAACAGCCACAAAGTTGGACCTTTCTGGAAGCTCAGTATCCCCAATTGACCTTTGGTAGCCTCCTCTTTGCTGCACTCAGAGATGACTGCTTGTGGGTGGCTTTGCACAGAGGGCAAGGCCCTGGGACAGTGTACTCCTGTAACCATCCACAGTTATCTGGGCTATAGGTGACTAACGAGCAGGTTGAGGAAGCAGTTATTGATCAGCTTTGTGGTTTGCTCATCCTAGGACATGACAATGGCAAGGGGCCCCTCTGGGCAATGACAGCAGTTTCTAGGGTGCTCTAAGCACCCTCCAGGAAAGACTGAGAATGATGGTTTTCCCAGGGATGGCTGCTGTGGCATCATGGTAAACTGGCCTTTGAGTGCTGCACACTGAAGTGGAGGGAGACTGTGTGCATGGAGGCAGGGCCCTCTGGAGAGTCCCACACACCCCACATTGCTTCCAAACTGTACCTAGCTTTAGGGATCTTGGTGGGGCTCTCTCTCCTGGCCACACTGAAGGCCTTGCCCCATTTCAGGTCTTGGCCAGCGAAGTTGGGGAAGACGTGAACGTCCAGCAGCTCCTGTCTACCCCTGGGACCTGGCGGGGTCGAGCTCAACAGATTCTTGTCTTGCAGAGCAGGGTGAGTGAGTCAGCAGACATCTCCTGGCCCTAAACGAAGGGTTTAAAATGCCCCAGAAAGACCCACACTGACCTACCTGAGAGATGGAAGCACACAGACCCCAAAGAAGGCCTTTAACACTGCAGAGAACATTCACAGAGCTGGTGGTGGTGGTTTTACACCCCCCCCCCCACCAGCCTGCTTTTAATTTGTTATTAATGAGCAAGCACTTACATAACACCACACGCCAGGCACTGCTCTAAGCACTTGACAAATGCCAATGCCTCTGATTAGATTTATTTTACTCCACATTTTTTCTAGCTCATGTAAATTTACGTGACTGTTGTAATTGTAGGCATTTTCCGAATAGTTTGGTTCAGATGCTGGCAGTCTTTTAAAAGTTTTAATTACCCAATAAAAGCTTAGCCTGTTTTCCTCTTTGTTTTCTAAACAATTTGGAGCATACCTGGGGCCAGACTGCTTGGATTAGAATCTCAGCTCTCCTCTCAGCAGCTGTGTGGCATTGGGCAAGTTACTTCATCTCTCTGTGCCTTGATTCTCTCATCTGTATAATGAGAATGAGGATAGGGAGTGGTTGGGAGGATTGAGTAAATCAGGATGTATCGAGTGCTCAACATAGTAACATAGGTTGGCTGTGGCTATTTTCCTTCAAACTGAGAAATACATAAATAGATGTGTAACTTCCACTGTTTGCCAAGACTATTTCCTTTATTCCAGGGACTTTAAGTTCCCAGTTCGTAGGTGGCTTTTACTCTTCAAGGTCTCCTATGGGATCCTTGAAGCCAACATGAAGAGGGGGAAAAAAAAGACTACAAAAACTATAATTGATGATCAGTGTGTGGCGTTGGGATTCAAGACACATGAGTTTGAGTCTGACCTCTGTCACAGTTCATAAACTCTATGATCGTGGTCAAATTACTTCATCTCTCTGTGCCTGTTTCCTCTCCTATAAAATGGAGATCATAATACTTTCCTTGCAGGGTTGTGAAATTAAGGGAAGTAACACAAGGAAAGTACCTGGCCATAATAAACACTCAACAAATTAGTTACTATTGTCATTGCAGTTAAGTTGCATAAATAAATAAATAAAATATTTTGTTACTGCTTAAATGTAATTACCATGCAGAGCCACACGAGGCCGCTGGTATGTGCTTTACAAGGGATGCTGTTCCCTTTGCCATTGAGTGACCCTGGGGAATTTTGCCTCCTTTCCTGGTTCAGGTTTACCCAACTTTACTCCATCACTTGCTTGTGTCAACACGGGAACCAAGGTTAGAAGATCCCTAGGAGTTATCCGCTTAATCTCAGTTTGATGAAACCATGGCTCTGTAGGACGATGCTTACCTGCCAGGTGCCTATGTGTACAAGGATCCATGCCAAGGGCTTCACCTGGGCCACCTGGGGGTTTCTCAAAGTTACCTAATCCTAAAAATAACCCATTGCGCTTGTTAAAAATACAGATTTTGTGGCCCTTCCCCTGGAGTTCTAATTGGCTGCTCTGGAGTGGGCCCCAAGATTTGTCATTTTAAGAAGTGTTGCTAGGTTCAGGCTACCCAAACTTGAATCTCCAATGAAATGTGATGTAAGGTATACCCTTGGGCCCATTTCACAGATGATGCAACTGAGATTCAGAGAAGTACCTGGTGTACAGTCACAAAGCCAGTGAGGCTTTAATCCAGTCTCTTGGCTCCCAAATCCTGCCCTTCTCTGTGACATCTCCTATAAGTGACCAGGAACCCATTGCCTCCTGACAAGCCCACCCAGTCAGAGGTGGTCCAGCTGTTAGAGATTACTTCCTTGTACTGAGACTTTCCACCTTTTCCCTCCCAGATTTCTGGAGGCCATATGTCTGTATCTCAGCCTTAAACAGCCCTTCAGAGATGGGGTGATTTTTCTCATTTACCTTGAAGTTTCTTTTTTCTAAGCTAAACCTTTCTGAATGTCTTCCATGTTATGCACAAAATTCTAACTCAGATCCCTCCTTGCCCATCCCTCTCCTATGGGGCTCTCATAACTACCTGGAATAGTGATTTGATACTCAGTCTAGTGGGATCTCCCATCACACGTTAGGGCAGCCCTCTGTAGTGTAGAGATTTTGCCTACAGACCCATTATCAAATGATGAGATTTACTGCCCTCAGGTTCGAGAGCTGGAGAAGCAGTTGGGACAGACCCGGAGCCGGTCTGCAGGAACAGCTAGTGATGAGCTGTCCATCCATTCAGACTCAAGGAAACTGTCGGCACAGGAGAAAAACCTGCTAAGGATCCGCACCCTGGAAAGGGAAAAACAGGAAGGCTGGGAGGTAATGTGTGCCTGGCAAGTTGGTCAGTGGGCTGATAGAATTGGGAGACCATGACCACCCTTGCAAGGACTCTGAGGTACAGGCATCAGAAGCTCTGAGCGTCGTTATAGGCAAGAGTCACCTGGGGCCCTGGCCACCTCTGTGCATGGTCTTTGGATTCCATTGAGTTTTCTCACTAGAACCTCACCCCAAGCCCATTTCAAGAATACATGGTAGATTTTGGTTGGCCCCATCCTTGACTATTTTAGAGATATTGGATGTGAAAAGGGATATTGGACATTGTAAAGGGGAAAGGGAGAGGGTCATAGCCCCAGAGGTATGATGTGGTTAACCACTGCCGTATAGTCCATTCCAACTCATGGTGAACCTGTGTATTAGAGCAGAACTGCACTGTTCGGTTTTCTTAGGAGCTCTGGTAGTGTAGCGTCTAAGGCAGTTGACTGCTAACCAGAAGGCTGGTGGCTCAAACCCACCAGCCACTCCTTAGAAGGAAGATGGGGCAATCTACTTCCATAGTGATATGGCCTCAGAAACCTAAGGAGGGGTCTCTATGAGTCGGGACTGACTCGATGGCACATAGCAACACAATAGGGTTTTCTTGGCTATAATATTTATAGAAGCAGATCACCAAGCCTTTCCTCTGCAATGCTGCTGGGTGGGTTTCAACCACTAACCTTTTGGTTAGTAGTCGAGTGGAAACCATTTGTACCACCAGGGACTTCATGATATGGTTTGATAGGCTTAAAGGAGGAAAGGTGCATGCTGATGAAAGAGGTGGGCAGGATGGTATCAACACCAATGATTGTATCCCACTGACTATCAGGAGTTTCAGAACTTAATTCTACCAGGCTTAAGCAACAAAGGAAATTTAAGAGCCCATGTAGATGAACAATCCAGAGGTGGCCTGGCTTCAGGCGCAGATGGATCAGGGATTTGGGGACTTAGCCTCCACACCATTTTCTCCTAGGTTGGCTTCACTCTCCCCTTTGGGGACCATTTGTAGTCCCAGCTTATACCTCCAACCCAGCCCCCACAGACAAAAGGCTTCTGTTTCCTAGTAGCTCCAACAAAGTCCCAAAATTCAATCTCATTGGCCTAATTTGGGTCATGCATTACCCCCGAATCAATCACTGTAGCCAAGGGTATGGGCTGCTTTGAATGGTCAGACTTCAGATGGCTGCCCCTACCTCTCAGCCATGGACTGAATAGGGGGAATGGGAACTTCCTCAAAGAAAAGCAGAAGAAGTAAAGGAAGTACTGGTAGACCAAATAACAGGCCACTTTAGTGGCCCTGGAAATGGACTTCCTAACAGTAAGGGCCTTACCTTTTCATTGTGTGACTTCCATTTTGAGTGCCAACTCAGGGATAGGCCCTGCACTAGGATTGTGTGACCATCATCACAGGGTGCCCCCAGCACTGTTCACAGGTGTGAACAGTAAGATGGGAGGGGTGAGTAGGGCTCAGTCATGTTTGACCTTATTCTCTGACTAGAGATTTTGGCTTTTATCTTGAAGGCAGACAAGAACCACCAGAGGGTTTTAAGTTGTGGAGGGACATGGTCAGATATGCATTTTAGAAGAGTTGCATGGTCAGGCATGTGGACAATCTGTTGGAGGAGACATGGGAGCAAAAATAATAGCATACTTGAGGCATGACCAAGGACGTGGAAAAAATAGCAAGACTGTCAAAGAAGAGCCAGACACTTATGACCTTGAAAGGGGGTGTTATGGGGCTCAGCGACTGATTGGACCTGGGAAAATGAGGCCTAGGCAGAATTGTGAAGATCTTCCTACAAGTATAGTGGGTAGGTAGGGCAGACGGGAAGAGGAATAGGGTCAAAGGGAAGTGAAAATGTTGGGTATGAGGTGCACCTAGCTTGGACTTACATAGACACAGAGAACAGAGTTATGTTGGAATCATTAAAACTGTCTATAAGCCACAATGATGGGTAAAAGGGTATAATGTCCTGTGTGTCTTTCCTCTGTCAGGCACCCACTAGCACCTGGAGTACAGAGATAGTAGAGCAACACTGAAAAATGGCTGCCTCTCCACGAAAAGCCAGCACAGTGTTTATTTCCTTGTGGTCCTGTGGATTCATCATGATTTACTATTTTGCATTTCTATAATATACTTCATCCAGGATCTGAAAAATTCCGGTGATAATTTCTCCTTGAACACAAGTCAAATTATATCACCCACTGCCCGAGATGCTCCTCAGTGTCTTGATCCTAGCTCTGAGGGTTCCCTCATCTGGCCTGCTCCAGTCTGCCCCCTCACTCACTGTGCACCAGCCACACTGGTCCCACCCCAGGGCCTTTGCTCCTATGCTCACCTCCTGCAATTTCTGCTCAGATGTTACGTTTCCAGAAAGGCCTTCCCTGACTACACCCCTGCCTCCTATTCCCTTCTCCCACTTTTAGCATTACCATTATTTGGTTTATCAACTACCCATTGTTGTTGATTGTCTGTCTTCCCCATTAGGCTGTCTGTGCCTTGGGGACAAGAACTCTATCCATTTTGTTCTATGCTGTATTCCAAGCACCTATAACAAAGGCAAACACATAGTAAGCCCTCAGGAAATATTTGAGAAGGAAGGAAGGAGAGACTCTCAAAGGCATAGGCAGCACCTGAGTTTTCAGTTTGTAGCTGACCAAAGCAAGACAGAGTCTAGAATGATGCCCTGGACTTGTGTGGGAGAAGAGAATACAGAGTGATGGGTAGAACCTTCCTCCCATTGTAGCTCTTGGTGGGGTGAGATATTTTAGCTTGATGCCAAGACTTTGTGCTATTCACAAAAGTGTGGCTTTTCTTTTTCCCCAGCCTGGGGAGTAGTGGAGGCTAGGGACAGCTGTGCTCTCTGGAGGATACACGCAGAGCTGGCCCATGGGTTTCCTCTCATGTCTCAACTCTGGCTGAGCAGGGACAGCTTACTGGAAGCCTAGGTCCTTGGGCTGCGGAGAGGAGTGCTGTCATCCATTAATGATGTCTGTCATGTATGAGGGCAAGGAAAGGAGGCTGCAGACCCATTTGACATCCCTGAGGGTCCTGGGTTGGGAGTTACTGACTTGCTCTGTGATCTTCAACAAGTACCCTCCTCTCTCTGGGCCTCATCAGTGACTGAGAGCAAGGGAGCAGAGGTGGCCGAGGTCCCACTAAGCCTTGCTGCCCATGATTACTCTGTCTGGTTACAGAAACTTGCAAGTGAGCGGGACGCCCTCCAGAGAGAGCTTGAAGAGCTGAAAAAAAAGTTTGAGGGTGTGAAGTCTCGGAACAAGGTGCTGTCCAGTGAAGTCAAGACCCTCAGGAGTCAGATGGGCACCCTGGTGGAGAAGGGCAGACATGACGATGAGCTCATCGACGCCCTCATGGTACAGCAGCCACTCAGGCCGGGCGAAAGCCAGGGCCTGTCCCCAAAAGGATGGAACCCCACCCCTGCCCAGAAAAATGACCCAGCCCCCACTCGATGGGCCTTACTCACCCCAGAATGACCACCTGTACAGTTTAGAAACCGATTGTCTCTGTATGGGAGGCACCAAAGCCCTGTCCAGGGTCAGGAGCCACTCAGAGAGGCTGCCTGCGGGCACATAGAGGGCTGTGAGTTTGCAGTGCCAGACATGACCACTGGGCCTGCAAATCCCAATGGAGAAAGAAATGTGTGAGGAGGAGGGGATGGGCTTACATCTGGGTGGTTTTGCATGAAGGAATAGAAGAGACATCTGAGGGGGGCAGTACAAATTATTCTCGCTGTGGTGGCAGTAATCACCACATAGAGACCCCCTCCCTCCTGGGTACGGGGAGGGCAACTTATAATGGTTAAGCCCAAAACAACCCCCGGAGTCTTCTATTATAATCCCATTTCACAGAGGGAAATGCATACAAGGCCACAAACTGAGTTCAAGCCAGGTTTATCTGATTGTACAAGCCCTCCTCAATTAGCAAGGGCACCCTGCTTTACTGACCCTACAGCCTAGGCTTTCCTCTCTGAGGAACTGAGGTGCCTCAGGTTTTGGTGTGTAAAATCCAAGTTGTGCCCACAGCGCCAGGGTATATGCCTGCCTCATCTGGGATGCTTAGGGGCTCAGTGCTGTCTTAGGTACCCACCTTAGTCAACAGTAATTTTACAAGATGGGGCAGTGGGCAGGGCACAAAAGATCAGAAAGCTAGACTTGGTTCCCCCATACCTCACTTTGTGACCCTGGGCCAATTTAACCCCTTCAGCCTCAACTCCCCAGTTTTTAAATTAAAGATGTGAGGTAGATATGCTCTGAGGTCTCTGTGTGCCCCCATTCTTTTTACTAAAGGTGGTATGATGGGAGCTGCAAGCCAGTCCCAGCCCTACCATTCACCAGCTCTGGGCCGTTGAGTTCTCTGGCCTTCAGTTTCCTCTACTATGAGATGGGGACAATAGCCCCTGTCTGGCTAGTATCACTGACATGGTCCTTCCTTGTTGGCCTCAGGCAGGAAGCTTCTGTCCTAGGAATCTCCTTGGAGGCATCTCCAGGGGGTAGGCCTCAGTCAAGTGCTGAAATCTCAGGCCTAAAGATCCCTGGCAAAGGGTCAAGGTATTGTCTCCCAAGGTGGTCTCCCAGCAGAGTGGGATCGGGGCTTCTTTTCATACAAACATCTCCCCAACTAGCTGAAGTGAGCTGTTTTCTGTTGTCCTGGAGAGCCCCTTGGGTATCCTTCCTGGCCACAGTCTTAGAGAGAAGGAAGTTGAGAACAGAAGGGAAGACAGAAGCATGATCCCCACCTGCCAAGTTGAAGACTCCTGGGTCCCAAGGGCAGGCAAGGAAGTTCCTCCAGTTCCTCAAGGGAACAGTCAGTGTCCCACCATTGGGTTCTTGTGAGAGCAGGAAGAGAGTGGGTTTCTGGGGGTGAAGGGAGGCAGGCTGTCCTTGTCCTCCTCTCCCAAGGGCCATGGCTGACCCACACCCACCCTCCTCCTCACCTCCCAGGGCCAGCTGAAACAGCTACAGGAGGTGCTGGGCAGCCTGAGTCTACAGGAAGAAAAGACACGCGCATCCCACCATCGCTTGGACCAGCAGCTCAACAGCGAGGCTCAGCAGAGCAGCAGCCTTGTTGCCCAACTGCGAGCCATGGTGGCTGAGCGGGAGGCCAAGGTGCGGCAGCTGGAGCTGGAGATTGGACAGCTCAGTGTGCAAGTGAGTGGGGCACTGGCACCCATTTGCAGCTCTAGCAAGCCCATCCACCATCCAGAAAAAGCTCTTTTCACTTCTTTCTACCTGGCTTTGCTCAGGCGACAACACATCCTACCTGTCTCCATCAGGCCCCCAGCCCATTCTGTACACAACTTTCTTTTCTAAAACACAAACCTGAGTGTGTCCCTGCTTTGTTTAAAACCTATTCATGGCTCCCCATGATCCTCTGCCTCACCTGTCCCTCAAGGATCCTGTCTCTTTCCAGCTCACTGGCTCCCATCCCTAGCTGTGTTCCTCATTCTCATGGTCCAAGATGGTGGCTACAGCACCAGTTATTACACTCACATTCCAGGTAGCAGGATGACAGGCAGAAGGCCAGGCTTCTTCATCCAGCTTCCAGGGTACCTTGTGACTAGTTCTTGCTGCTACCACTCATGCATCTTCTCTTCGCCTCTTCCTTTTCCCCACACTCTGGCCCATGGATGCTGTTTTGCACCTCACATGGGCTCTTTGTCTCCTCACTCCAGGCCTGCTCATGTACCTGGACATGCTCCTTCCCCTTCCTCTCCCACAACCTCTGCCTGGCCAGCTGCCAGCTTGAGGGCATACCTAGTCATGAGTTCTTTGAGGAAGCCCAGGACCTCCATCTGTGTTATGTGCCCTGCCTGGGCACTCCCCTAACTCCTTGTGTGTGCCCAAGCCAAACCTTTGTCACACTATGTGGTCATTTTCCTCCCCTTAAAGGACATAGGCCATAGTACAGAAACATATTTCATGGTACACAATAGATGTTCAATAAATGCTTGCCTAAGAGTGAGGCCCTGAAGATATTTTGCCTTGGCAGATGCTTTGAGGGCACAGGTTGGGGCTGCTTAGAGTCAGGTGCCTTTGCCTCTCTATGGCTTCTTCCTGTGGTGGTAGTAGTGCTAGAGGTACAGGGCAGCATGTCAACTGGTAGTCTCTGGAGGAAGGATTCCTTGACAGAGACTCAGGTCTCCCAATGGAAGAGGAGCCCCACAGCCTTTGACCTTCTGGGAAATTGATTGGCATAGCCAAAGATATGTCACAGAACATCCTTGCCCTTTGTTCTAGGGGTCTGTGGTCCGGTCAGAGGTATGGAAGCCCAGGAGCCCCTTGTCTCAGCCTCTGGTGGGGTTTGCTAGCCAACCTGGTTTGCCCTGCGGTCGTCTATTCCCAGAGGCAGCTTGGGGCCACAGGATTGGCTATGGTAGAGAATAACTGATGCCGTGAGGCTGGAGGAGAGCCCAGGGGCCTAGAGAAAGCCTGGAAGCAGAGTGTGGGTGGTAATGAATGGGGCATCATCTTGCAGTCCTCACCCTGCTTTCCCATCACAGGTTCACTGGGGAGTGAAGTCTGAGAAGTTCACAGGGACATGCCAGGGTCTTCACCTCCCGCTGTCCCTGCTCTAGGTACACAAGAGAGGACCAATACAGACCTCAGAGGTCATCAGCCTGTTGGGAAAACATTACCCACCAGACAAGTTAACATACATTGTGGGTCATCTCAGATGGGTGGGTTTGGAGGGTATGCCAGGTTGTTTAGGGCTCATATCAACTATCTTCCCACTGATGATGGCCTCACCACCTGCTGGAGGTCCTCTAATGTCCCATCTTCCACCGGGCCCCACCAGGTATCCAGAAGATACTTGGAAGGGCTGCAATTCAGGAAGTGGGACCAGAAAGCCTAGCCTCCACGCAGTGCTGCCAACCCTTGCTGAGGCCCTGCCAGCCTCTCTGGCTGCAGGTGCCTGGAAGGAAGCTGGCCTCAGGTGGTACCAGTGAGCATTCATCGGCATGTGGGTGAGGCTGCTGGGAGGTGGGCTAGGCTCCCATCCTGCTCAGCCACCTAGGAGATGGCAGCCTCTGACCTGCCTCATATGGAGGGCTATGCATCTCTTTGGGACCTGAAAATAGACCAGCTTCCTGGCTCAGTCACTATCCTCACACCATGTAACTCCCTTTCTGAAGAGAGGCATTATTAGATGTCATTATCATGCAAACAGCGCCTTCACCAAACAGACCTTGCCTTTCTCTCCTGAAAAGAAGCCTCTTTCAGACTCCCTGAAAGATCCGAAATCAAGCCAAGCCCCCTCCTGCCCTCTCCAGGCCTCTGAACCAAAGCCCCAAGAACTGAACCCATGTCTATTCCCTGCAGTATCTTCGGAATAAAAGCATGGACAACGGATCCAGTGAGCCTGACGTCAACCACACCTCTATCAAGGTCCCAGAGGAGTCAGGCAAGACCAAGTCCCCGGCCTCAGCAAGCAGTCACGTTGGCAGGGTTGGATCTTCTCGGTAAGAAAAAAAATGGGATGGTAGAATTGAAAAGTGAATATTAATTATTCAGAAGAAAGGCTGTTTCCTGTTGCCTCTGATGGGAAGCCATGGAAGCAATTTTAAGATGACTGAGGCATTGGTCTTCCAGTACGCGGGCCTCTCCTATTATTTTAGCTCTGCATCTGCAGAAGGGAGGCACTGATGCCCAGATACTGTATTGCATGTTGGTTACATCTCCCTTTGATACCCACTCTGAGCTGGACTCGGAATGAATCTGCTCCTAGAAATCTCAGAGACCTGTATTTGATTGTGTGAGCCTCTCATGTCTCCTGGTTCTGTCTCATTCTGAGCAAGCAGGAGTTCTGGAAAGAAAGGCTGCAAATCCACAGGGCTGCCCAGCCAGGGCCGCTGCGAGGGCCAGTGCTGGCCACCTCCTCAGGTTCCCAGGATCCCTGCTGGCCCCCTGCTCCCTTCTCAGCTGAGCACATGCAGAGGTGAGGTCCAGCAGGGCCCAGCCTGCCTTCCCAAGGTGATGGGCCCCTTCCACCTTCGCGCAGCTCCGTGACCAGCCTGGGCCACACGCTGGTGGAATCTGCTCTCACGTGGCCCTCTCTGCCCAGTCCTCATGGGGCCTCACCCAGGTATGGAACCCAGGACCCTCAGACCATCATGGTCCTTCCCACCCTTGATTACTTAGCTAACATTGACATCCCATCTAAAAGGAGGGGAAACTGAGGCCAGGCCAAGTCCAGGGACTCTTCCAAGGTTACATAAGGACATGGAGGTTTGGACAGGTCCAGTTTCTTTGAGTGACAGAGCATGTGGATTTTAGGACTAGATTCTCAGCCTTGTGGCTCCCAGGCCAGTGCTCCTTCCTGCTACCAGAAAGTTAACACAAGGAATCTTCTAGGGCCTGACGCCCAGCACCTTCCCTTGCCTTCTCTTGCCCATTGAAAATCAATCCCTAGGGAGAGACTTTCATATCATACAGGTTCCCACTTTAAGCCACTGATATCCCCTCAGCTCTCTGGCCCCTCTTTGTTGATAGAATCAAGCCTTAGTGCTTAAATGGACCCTTTGTTCCACTTGCCAGCTCTCAGACAAAGCAAGACTTTGTACAACGTCTGAGACCTGTCTTGAGCCCTGCCTACTGTCCATTGGAGCCGTGCTCCTGTGTCAGTCCCCCAGAGGCAAGTCAGCTCAGGTTCCAGAAAGGCCCCCCAAGTGGCCCCAGCCCCACACTGGGCTTGCTGTGTGACTCAGGGCAAATAGGTTTTCTCTCTGGGCTGCTATCTCCCAAGAAGTTCCTACAACACTCTGGCCTGACATTTGACAGCTCAGGGATCCTGGGGCCAAAGCCAGCCCTGTGGGACATGAGGAATCATGGGAGCACTCGGAGGAGAGTGGTTTGACTCTGAGCCACAAGGGCGTATTCCACACCTATGAGAGCGGGGAAGTCTCATCCCACCACCAGGGAGAACGACAGGCTCTGCTTCTGAGCTTTTAGTCACAAGAGAGACCATTCTTTAGTAGTGGGAACAGGAAGATGGATGAGCTAACCCCTCAAGGTCCCTTCCAGACCTATGTGGCTGTGACATGTGCACTCTACAGGGATGGTAGGAGCCAGTGTGCTCCATAATTACCCAGATTGATGGTTCTCAAGCTTGTTCCTTCCCTAGCACACAAGCATTTACTGAACCCAACTACATGCAGGGCCTGCCCTCTTGGAGCTTCCAGACCTCTCCCCTCCATAACAGGACAGGAGTGATCCCAGGGAATGTCTCTCTCAGGGCTACATGGATTGAACCGACTCCCTTCTGGTGGGATCTGAAGGGGGCGGAAGCCCCTTCTCCTGGCTCCCCCTTCTCCCATTTGAGAATCATGGAGATGACTTGGAGCAGGCTTTCCAAACTGCAGTGTGCACCAAAATCACCTAGTGATCTCATTAAAATGCAGGCCCTAATAGAACAAACCTGGGATAGAGACTGGGATTCTGCATTTCTAATAAGCTTCCAGATGTTGCCACAGCCACTGACTCTGAAACCACTTTGAGTAGCAAGGCCTTCCAGCATAGTTAGGAGTCAGAGAGGGAAAGGTCTGCAGTCCTTCAGCCCATCTCAGCTAGCTCCTCAGTGTTCAGAGAGAGGACTAGGGCCCAGAGAGGAGAAGAGGTCTGCACAAGACCACAGAGCGAGTCCACCCCAGCCCTTGGCACCACACACCTCTGAAGCCCTCCCTGTGTCTTTCTGTGCTGGGAAAGCAAGCCCAAGTCACCCAGTCTCACTGGGGAAGGTACAGGGTGAGGCAGAGAGCAGCTTGCAACTCACACATAGTGCTGGTCCAGAGCAGCTCACCTTCTATCCTAGACCCAGATAGAAGTAGGGACTGGGAGGCAGGCCCAGTGATGAGTAGGGGGAGCAGTGATGACTGGGTCAGGGCTGGAGAAAACTGATCAAGTCACAAAGCCAAGGTGTCCAGGATCCAGGAAAATGAGCTAGATTTGGGGCCAAGCCAGGAGCTACAGGAGGGCTAGGGCAAGCTGGCAGGGAGACAGAGAGACTGGGCCTACCTGTTATTGGGTAGGATGGCCAGGCCTCAGAGGCCATACAGTTACCCAGGGCACTTCCAGGCCCCCAAGAGACAGCTTCCATAGCAGATGGACTAATCCAGACCCCCATGGGGATTGGGTGTTCAGAGGTAGCCATGCAGCTCCAGTCCTTGTAGTATCTGGCTTTGGAACAAGCTAAGTGGGGCCTTAGGGACTAACAGCACCAGGAAAAGGCCAAGGGAGAAGGTCCAGGACAGGGTGGTTGGCATCTTTCTCTCTGGATGGCTCTGAGGACCCCTGAATGTCCTTCCAGTCCTTCCCACCATTACAGGGGCCCTGGTAAGTGTGTGTCTTCAAGCCACCCTTCAGATGACCTCTGCCCTGTGTCCCCTACCTCTGTCTCTAGGTTCTTGGACTCCCCAGAACAAAAAGGCTGGCAGGCACAGGTGTCAGAGTTCAAAGCCCTCTGGCAGGCTGCTGAGGTGGAACGCGATCGACTCACCGAGTTTGTCACTGTCCTACAGAAACGGTAACACATGGCACTCAGGGACATGTTCTCACAAGCCTGCATGGGATAGGAGTGGACAGCCTGGTACAAGGGCATCCCTTTGGCCAGGGGCCAGACATCCTCCAAGTCTGGGTCACCTCACCTGAGAGTTTGGCTTCCACAGGCTTGGTGCTGAGGTATTCCTAGCCGTGTCTTGTGTGCCCACCTAAGTGTCCCACAAACTTGGGGCCCTGCATCATAAGGACAGCCCTGTCATCCATGTGCACAAGTGCAATTGTCACATGGCATGTGGACAAGAGGTGGGAGTCTCAGGGAGACTCTGTAATAGGAAAAATCACTCAAATCAACTCCCCAGTAATTAAAATCTAGGATGGATGTGGCACTGAACTCAGTGCTGTTGGAGAGTTGGTGGGAAGAAGACCCAGCCTAGACTTTTGTCCAGAATTACAAAGAACAAGAGAGTTGCTGACACATGGGGTTGAGACTTTTCTGGGGAGGGAGGCCTGAGGCAATGAACCAGGCAGCACGATTTTCTCCAAAGTTGTTGACAGACTTCCATTTAGATAAATCAGTACTCCTTGCTCAAGTGACCCTTTTGGCAAGAAATGAGGCTGTCCAGGCCAACACATGGTCCAACCATGTGACCTCCACGCTGAAAAATACAAAGGATAGCACTGAGTTTCTGCCCCAACAGGCCATATCATGTATCAGTCAGAGCTCTTTGGTGGCAGAAAACAGAAACCGATTCTGACTAAATTAAATAAAAAGAAGTTTTTTGGAAAGCACTGGGTAGTTGTCAGACTCCAAGGTGCAGAGCACAGGAGGAGCTCAGGAAGGTCCAAGGATCTCAGTAGCAGGCACACTGAAACAGTCTCCTCTGAACCACTGGCATAGTGCAAGCCCAGTGGTTTTGGCTTCCTGTGTTGGTAGATTGTGGGAGAGAAGGTCTAACTGGCCCTGTGTTGCTCACATACCCCTAGGAGCAAGCTGGCCACCCTGACTACCCTCAGGTGCTCGCAGAATGGAGGAGAAGTAGTTTCCCACTGGGAAGAATGAGGTATCATTACCAAAGAAAGGGTTAGGAATGCTGGGAAGGCAAAACCAATGCATGTCCACTACATAGGCAGTGAGAAATGGTCAGCTTTAATTTTTTTTCTTGTTATGATAATACATAGAGAAGGTATGAATTTCAGACATATTTAGGTCAATGAGAAAAGTAACATTCTTTTTCTGTAATTGCAGTTTAATGTATAATACAAGCCTCCAGTCTAACAAATGGCAGAAACATACTCAATTCAGATTTTCTCTGCCATTTTCACACCCAAGTTTTGGATTTTTGTTTTGTTTTGTTTTGTGAGCCAGGGTGGCTCAGTTTTCTATTGCAGCATAACAAACTATCCTAGACTTAGTGGCTTCACACTCAGTGGTGGTTCTTTCTATGATTCTGTGGGTTGCCTGGGTTATTGGCTCCATATAATGTTAGCTATAGTCACTCAGATGGCCCCACTCATGGAAGCTCAGCTAGTGTGCCTCAGTTCTTCTCCACGTGGCCTCTCTCTCTGTGAGGTGGCTTCCAGGGTATCTCCATGAAAGGCCAGGATTAGGGTGAGGCAAGCAAGGCACCTAGAGTGCAAAATTCAAGGAGCCAGGCACTCTGAGTCGTGTGTGGGAGCCTGAGGGTAGGTGTCTCTTTCAGTTTGGTGCCCCAGGTGCCTCACTTGCATCACCCTAATTCCAGCCCTGTGGCCCCTCTTTTATCAGCAGGATAGCCTGCCCTTCTTTACAGCATGGCAATTAGGTTCCAAAATGGAACACTGAAGAGTATAAGCTCCAATGTGCAAGTGCTTGTCAAGCTTCTGCTTACATCATACTGCTAATATCTCTGGCCAAAGCAAGTCACATTGTTAAGCCCAAAGTCGATGTGGAAAACAACTACACGAGAACATGAATACTGGGAGGTATGCCCATTAAAATGGTCACCCCTGTCACAGTCTATCACACAAGGCATCAGCATCATCAACTATCTGTTGATGTTATTATCCACTGAGGAATTTTATTCTCCTTTGGTCATCAGGTATCAGTGCATAGGTCTTGTTGCTGACTTGTTTAGGTTTCAGTCTCTCTCAGCTGACATCCAAGTCTTAGGGTTCATTCTGTTATTCTGTGCCCTTCTGAGCTGTGAGGGAGTTCTATAGGGCTGACCTAGGCCCATCAGCTAAAACACTGCCTTTTCTACTCAGGTATTGTTGCCTCCCTGCATTCCAACTAGGAGAGGGGGTTCAGGCTCCTTCTGCACTTGGATGCACCCCCACACTTTTCTGGATTTCTCACCCCTTGCCAACAAGCCTGAGGGTACAGTGCAAGACTTTCCTTTTTCAGAGACCCTCAATATCTAGAGGTGCTGTCCCAGTCTTGCACAGGAGTCTTTTTCTGTGCAGCTTCCTCCTCGGCAGGACTCTGCCCTACAAATCCAGCTGCCTCAGTGTTCCCCTCACCACCATCACCCTGCACTCCCACCCCTGGTATCATCTTCTTAGCCCAGTGAGACCACAGTGCTCTGCTGGGGTTCCCTCTCCAGTGTTCCAGGCAGAAGGCGCCTCAAGCAGAAAGCCAGGGGCAAGGGTAGAACTTAAGTCATTTGTTTTCCTTCTCTCAAGGATGACAGCTGCCTGATGTCTGGTGTTATTTCTTATACTGTATCTATTTTTCTAGTTCTTGAGGATAATTAGTTTACCATGACAAAAACCACTCAGTATGTCTCTTACAAAAAAGCATATAGCTGGCTTTGTTTTAAAATTTAAACTAGCAGTTTCTGGGTTTTAACAAGAGTTTAATCCATTTTAACTTATTATAGTATTTGTTTATTTGTTTGTTATTGGGATTTGGGTGAAAGTTTATAGAGCAAATTCATTTTCCATACAGCAGTTTATACACATTTTGTTTCATGACATTGACTACAATCCCCACAATGTAACAGCTCTCTTTCCACTTCCTCCCTGTGGTTACCTCTTCCCTGTGTCCTTCTTTCTCTTGCATTCCTGCCTTCTGAGCTATCTCTCTATGCAAATACTGCCCTTCTGATCTCCCACGATTGATTGTTCTAAGGGGTATGCCTACCTGGTGTAAATGTTCACTGTATATGCCTGTCTGTTGCTTGGCTGGAAGCCATAGGAGTGAATTCAATTCCAGGCCTGAAGGGTGACTGGAGGCCATAGTCTCGAGGGTTTAACCAGCCAAGGGAGAAGGGCCAGTAATCCTGGTCTTTCTTTATAATTTTCACTTTTGTTCCATATTTTTCTCCTCTATCCAGGATCTCCTGCACTGATCCCTTTCCAAATGGTTGACAACATTTTCACTTGTTATAATACTTGGAATATTTTAATTATCTTACTGTCTTCTATTTACCATAGTTTTTCTTTGCTCCTTTTCCTCCACCCTTCATATTTAATAATAGTAGATTGATCAAATTGTCTTTATTTCCCTTTTTTCTATTACTGGTTTGGAAGTTATACATTCTGTCTCTGTTTTTTTAGTGATGATCCTTAAATTTAACATGAAACTCAGCAAGTCTAAAGCCAATGACTTTCTTTACCATATTTTAACCAATAGAGTAAATTTAGAATGTTTTAATCCTGATTTTCCCACTTGGTCTTCCATTACTGTTTCCTAACATTTATCTTTCACATTCTTTTTAAATGCCCAGAAATCAAACCCTCCAAATTCATTAAAAAAGAAAAAAGTAGCTTATTTACCCCATCATCTGAATATTTGTTAGCATCCCCACAATCACAGTTCCCATGTTTAGAAATTTAAACATTTTCTTTCCTTTTTTAAAATGTAATTTTACTTATTTAGTTATTGTTGAGAATATACACAGGAAAACATACACCAATTCAACAGCTTCTATGTATACTTTTAGTGACATTTAAACTTCAACTTTTTAACATCTAATTTAAAAAATGTCTTTGCTCAGAGTTGTGTCTTTCATCTCATTTTTCCTTCTGGGTTAGTTTCCTTCTGATCAAAGCACATCTTGTGGTTCAGTGAGGGTATGCAAATGATCAACTCTGAGTCTTAGTTCATTTTTTAAATGTCTTTATTATAGTTTTCTCTTGAATGACAACTTAATTTGGCATAGAATTCTAGATAGATGGGTGTTTTTTTCTCAGTGCTTTAAGGCTATTATTCCATTGTCTTTTAGCATCCACTGTTGTTAAGAAGAAATCTGTTACCAGTTTCATAGTCTTTCCTTTGTCAATAATATTCTTTCTCTCTGGATGCTTTTTCAGACAGTTTCCTTGTCTTTGATGTTTTGACCTTTTGCTGTGATGTGTTTAGCTATTTAGATTTTCTTTTCTCTGCTCAGGAATTAGTTGTGGGTTTTTTTTGTTTGTTTGTTTGTTTGCAATCCAAGAGCTTCAATTCTGGAAAATGTTCCGCCATTTCTCTCCTCCATTTTGACTGTTCTTTTCATCTAAAACTCCTAGTCAGTGTATGTTAGGTCTTCTTATACTTTCCACTGCAGTCCTTAATCTCTCTCAATATTTTGGGCCGAATTCTGGATGACATCTTCAAACTTATGTTCCAGGTCACTAAATCTCTTCAGTTGTAGTTCATCTGCCATGAAACTTATTTTAATAACTATGTTTTTCTTTTCTAATGTAAACCACCTGCTGTTTTTCTTATAGCATTTGTTCTTTCATTGAGATTTCTTGCCTTTATCTTTAAAAAATTTTTTAATTTACTTAGTCTCTTTAAAATTGTACTATCATCTTCATTCCTTAGAACCCCAAGTAACGCTACTGACTCTCCTCATGGTGCATTACTTCCCTGTGTGGTTTGTATTTTGGGGTTGTTTTGTGAGCTTATCTTCAGTGGGATTTTTTTTTTCTTGTGAGAGCCCTTAACAACCAGGGTTATGAAAATGCACCCACAGAGTGGTTCTGCTTTTGTTTCTATGGAGCCTTTGAGGTTTCAGTGGTCTCTGATCAGTACTTTATGTTAATGTGTTGGCTTTGGAT